GTAACGCTGCTACTAATGAGAGATGTTCTGTGACCTTCTGATTTTCCCTGTAAAGCCTGGTTTATACTTCTACGTCGGTGCGGAGACATGCAACGCCATAATGCGTCGGCACAAGGGCTCGCAGAGGGTGGCGGAGACATGCTCAAAATTTTAAACATCCATTCAAAGTGATGGAGTTAGCAAGTTTGTGATTGGTCAGGACACCGCTTCCTGTACATTCGTCACCAGCACCAATGTAGCTCAGTTAAAAAAAAACAGATATTTAGCGGCAGACCTAGAACAGACTGAAGAACACATCGCAGGATAAGTCCAAAAATATGAATATTTATTAAGCTGTGAGTGAAGGAGTACAAAATTCAGAGCAAACGTGGACGGAAACGATGGGAAACGTGGGTTTAGAGGGGGCGACGGCATGAAGAGGAGGAGGAGAATGAAGGGTAAATTAGTCCGTGTTATAAAGTCTCTGAAATGTATAAACACTTAAGTAAATATATATAAACACTTAAGTAAATATATATAAACACATTAGTAAATATATATAAACGCATTAGTAAAAAGATTTAAACGCATTAGTAAATAGATATAAACGCATTAGTAAATAGATATAAACGCATTAGTAAATAGATATAAACGCATTAGTAAATAGATATAAACGCATTAGTAAGTAGATATAAACGCAATAGTAAGTAGATATAAATGCATTAGTAAATAGATATAAACGCATTAGAAAATAGATATAAACGCATTAGTAAAAAGATATAAACACATTAGTAAATAGATATAAACGCATTAGTAAATAGATGTAAACGCATTAGTAAATAGATATAAACGCATTAGTAAATATATAAATGCATTAGTAAATAGATATAAACGCATTAGTAAATATATAAACGCATTAGTAAATAGATATAAACGCATTAGTAAATAGATGTAAACGCATTAGTAAATAGATGTAAACGCATTAGTAAATAGATGTAAACGCATTAGTAAATATATAAACGCATTAGTAAATATATAAACGCATTAGTAAATAGATATAAACACATTAGTAAATAGATATACGCATTAGTAAATAGATATAAACGCATTAGTAAATAGATATAAACGCATTAGTAAATATATATAAACGCATTAGTAAATAGATATAAACGCATTAGTAAATAGATGTAAACGCATTAGTAAATAGATGTAAACGCATTAGTAAATAGATATAAACACATTAGTAAATATATAAACGCATTAGAAAATAGATATAAACACATTAGTAAATAGATATACGCATTAGTAAATAGATATAAACGCATTAGTAAATAGATATAAACGCATTAGTAAATATATAAACGCATTAGTAAATAGATATAAACACATTAGTAAATATATAAACGCATTAGAAAATAGATATAAACACATTAGTAAATAGATATACGCATTAGTAAATAGATATAAACGCATTAGTAAATAGATGTAAACGCATTAGTAAATATATGTAAACGCATTAGTAAATAGATATAAACGCATTAGTAAATATATAAACGCATTAGTAAATAGATATAAACACATTAGTAAATAGATATACGCATTAGTAAATAGATATAAACGCATTAGTAAATAGATATAAACGCATTAGTAAGTATATATAAACGCATTAGTAAATAGATATAAACGCATTAGTAACTAGATATAAACGCATTAGTAAGTAGATATAAACGAATTTGTAAATAGATATAAACGCATTAGTAAATAGATATAAACGCATTAGTAAGTAGATATAAACGCATTAGTAAATATATATGAATGCATTAGTAAGTAGATAAAAACACATTAGTAAATAGATATAAACGCGTTAGTAAATAGATATAAATGCATTAGTAAATAGATATAAACGCATTAGTAAGTAGATATAAACGCATTAGTAAATAGATATAAACGCATTAGTAAATAGATATAAACGCATTAGTGAATAGATATAAACGCATTAGTAAATAGATATAAACGCATTAGTAAGTAGATATAAACGCATTAGTAAATAGATATAAACGCATTAGTAAATAGATATAAACGCATTAGTGAATAGATATAAACGCATTAGTGAATAGATATAAACGCATTAGTGAATAGATATAAACGCATTAGTAAGTAGATATAAACGCATTAGTAAATAGATATAAACGCATTAGTAAATAGATATAAACGCATTAGTAAGTAGATATAAACGCATTAGTAAGTAGATATAAGCGCATTAGTAAATAGATATAAACGCATTAGTAAATAGATATAAACGCATTAGTAAATAGATATAAACGCATTAGTAAGTAGATATAAACGCATTAGTAAGTAGATATAAGCGCATTAGTAAATAGATATAAACGCATTAGTAAATATATAAACGCATTAGTAAATATATAAACGCATTAGTAAATAGATATAAACACATTAGTAAATAGATATACGCATTAGTAAATAGATATAAACGCATTAGTAAATAGATATAAACGCATTAGTAAATATATATAAACGCATTAGTAAATAGATATAAACGCATTAGTAAATAGATGTAAACGCATTAGTAAATAGATGTAAACGCATTAGTAAATAGATATAAACACATTAGTAAATATATAAACGCATTAGAAAATAGATATAAACACATTAGTAAATAGATATACGCATTAGTAAATAGATATAAACGCATTAGTAAATAGATATAAACGCATTAGTAAATATATAAACGCATTAGTAAATAGATATAAACACATTAGTAAATATATAAACGCATTAGAAAATAGATATAAACACATTAGTAAATAGATATACGCATTAGTAAATAGATATAAACGCATTAGTAAATAGATGTAAACGCATTAGTAAATAGATGTAAACGCATTAGTAAATAGATATAAACGCATTAGTAAATATATAAACGCATTAGTAAATAGATATAAACACATTAGTAAATAGATATACGCATTAGTAAATAGATATAAACGCATTAGTAAATAGATATAAACGCATTAGTAAGTATATATAAACGCATTAGTAAATAGATATAAACGCATTAGTAACTAGATATAAACGCATTAGTAAGTAGATATAAACGAATTTGTAAATAGATATAAACGCATTAGTAAATAGATATAAACGCATTAGTAAGTAGATATAAACGCATTAGTAAATAGATATGAATGCATTAGTAAGTAGATAAAAACACATTAGTAAATAGATATAAACGCGTTAGTAAATAGATATAAATGCATTAGTAAATAGATATAAACGCATTAGTAAGTAGATATAAACGCATTAGTAAATAGATATAAACGCATTAGTAAATAGATATAAACGCATTAGTGAATAGATATAAACGCATTAGTAAATAGATATAAACGCATTAGTAAGTAGATATAAACGCATTAGTAAATAGATATAAACGCATTAGTAAATAGATATAAACGCATTAGTGAATAGATATAAACGCATTAGTGAATAGATATAAACGCATTAGTGAATAGATATAAATTCATTAGTAAGTAGATAAAAACACATTAGTAAATAGATATAAACGCGTTAGTAAATAGATATAAACACATTAGTAAATAGATATAAACGCATTAGTAAGTAGATATAAACGCATTAGTAAATAGATATAAACGCATTAGTAAATAGATATAAACGCATTAGTAAGTAGATATAAACGCATTAGTAAGTAGATATAAGCGCATTAGTAAATAGATATAAACGCATTAGTAAATAGATATAAACGCATTAGTAAATAGATATAAACGCATTAGTAAGTAGATATAAACGCATTAGTAAGTAGATATAAGCGCATTAGTAAATAGATATAAACGCATTAGTAAATAGATATAAACGCATTAGTGAATAGATATAAACGCATTAGTAAATAGATATAAATGCATTAGTAAATAGATATAAACGCATTAGTGAATAGATATAAACGCATTAGTAAATAGATATAAACGCATTAGTGAATAGATATAAACGCATTAGTGAATAGATATAAACGCATTAGTAAATAAATATAAACGCATTAGTAAATAGATATAAACGCATTAGTAACTAGATATAAATGCATTAGTGAATAGATATAAACGCATTAGTAAATAGATATAAATGCATTAGTAAATAGATATAAACACATTAGTAAATAGATATAAACGCATTAGTAAATAGATGTAAACGCATTAGTGAATAGATATAAACGCATTAGTAAATAGATATAAACGCATTAGTAAATAGATATAAACGCATTAGTAAATAGATGTAAACGCATTAGTGAATAGATATAACGCATTAGTAAATAGATATAAACGCATTAGTGAATAGATATAAACGCATTAGTGAATAGATATAAACGCATTAGTAAATAGATATAAACGCATTAGTAAATAGATATAAACACATTAGTGAATAGATATAAACGCATTAGTAAATAGATATAAACGCATTAGTAAATAGATATAAACACATTAGTTAATAGATAGAAACGCATTAGTGAATAGATATAAACGCATTAGTGAATAGATATAAACGCATTAGTAAATAGATATAAACGCATTAGTAAATAGATATAAACGCATTAGTGAATAGATATAAACGCATTAGTAAATATATATAAAGGCATTAGTAAATAGATATAAATGCATTAGTGAATAGATATAAACGCATTAGTAAATAGATATAAATGCATTAGTAAATAGATATAAACGCATTAGTAAATAGATATAAACACATTAGTAAATAGATATAAACACATTAGTGAATAGATATAAACGTATTAGTAAATAGATATAAATGCATCAGTAAATAGATATAAACACATTAGTAAATATATACAAATGCATTTATACATTTTAGGACATAAAAATGTGGTTCACCACCCATCAGCTCATCTGCCTCAGTGTTTGAAGCTAAAAATAGAAAACAGAACATTTTCTTTCTCCTGTCTTTCCTGGCCCATAAATCATCTTCTTAGCGTATTAATC